AGGCACCAACGCTGCGTTTCTACTTACAAAAACCCGTCCAGATAACACTTTCCCGTCCCTCGGTCCCGTTAACCTCTCGCCCGCCGGCTCCCTCCCCGAGGGGACGCGCTTATGTCCGACCCACTTGCCTGCCGGCCGCCTCTCTTTCTTATAAAATGTTTCCTCACATCTTCTCTCTCCTTTCCTCCCCAGAGCCTCTATTCTTTTCTCCTCTCTGTCGCCTGGGCTACCAAAGCCGACTTCTAACCTCCGTGTGCCGTCAACTGCTCGGCAAGCTGTCGCAAACGTGCGCACACTGCCGCCCGGCGGGGAAAGGGTAGTTACGACACTCGTCAACACGTGGGGGGCGGTTACAATACAAGTTGCGTTTCACTTCGATACTGTTGGGATTTTTTCGCCTTATAACTTGTGCGCGTACCATTTGATACTCATTCATCTGTGTGCAAACATATTTTATGCAGTGCCGAGTAAGGGTGCAGACGAGGTAAATGAAGTGTTTTTTAATTAGTCCCGCGAGCTAGCTAAGGGTTCTGAACGTTATGCGTCTCTAATTAGGTTTCCTAATGGACTGACCATGTTCTGGGATGTTGTGTTTTACGATTTTATGTCATCTCGTAGCTAACCACCTCCGGCATTAGACGGTTTAAAATATCCTTTCAGATCTGTGACGATTTGCTGCACGTATTATTCATGTTATTTTGTACAGGATAGGTGCTTCGCCGTATGATGAGGAATTAGGGATTGTTTGGTGTTTTTTTTCGTTCAGCGGTGTGGCCAGCTATAGTTCAGGAGGACCGGGACAGAGTCTTCAGAGGGAAAAGTCCGACTGCATCTCTCCCGCACAGGAGCGAGTTGTGCTGATTGTGAAATGCACTGGTTTTGTGCTTCTCGAAAACCTTAGGGGGGCAGACGTTTCGGTCTGTATCTAACCTGTCCCTTCTCCGTCGCTGCCTGCAGCAACAGGCGCCCTTGCACGCCGGGGCGGTTCGGGAAGAACCAAGACACACACACACGCACACACGCCCGGAGCCCGATTGGCCGAGAGGGCCGCCGGCTGGGCCGCTGTCGTCACCCCCCGCCAGCCAATGGCAGGCGGCTGCGTCCTGCCTTGTGATGGTTTGGATTTAGCGACGTTGGGCGCCGCAGTTTTCCTCGTCTCCTTGCCGCGGCTGGGGCTCTCGGACTTTTTTTTTATTTTATTTTGCACGGTATTACTCTGTCCTTTTTTTTTGTGTGTGTGTGTGTGAGACGTGGGCCTGGTGCTGCCCCAGGGGGGGGGAGACACGCGCCGGGGTCCCTTTGTGTTCGGACCCGGGTTCGGAATCGGGATTCTCGGCCGCGCGCGGGGTTCGGGCGCCCCGGCGGAGGAGCCAACGTGACCGGAGGCGTCGGCTCGGCTGCCCAGGGGCCGTGCGCTGGGCGTGGGGTCCCCACCCGAGCGGCGCTCGCAGGTCGGTGCCGTCCGCTGGCTCGGAAGTTGTGGTTCCGCTTTGCTTTCTTTGCATGCAACGGCGACGGGGCCAAGTGTGCGTGTTTGTTTTTCACGTTACGTACACATCGCTACACAATTGCGGCGAACGCCAAACAGCGGGCTTGGACACAAGCGTCGCCAGAGGGATAATCTGAGGAGCTGGCTGTATTTGTGTTGGCACCGGGACTGGGGCAGCCGGGGATGTGTGTGCGGGGCACCGCGCCTGGGGACTGAGTTACAAGTGTAGTTCGAAGTTGGCAAGGCATGCATCTGGATTCACGGTGGTGATGGTTTTAGGCAAGCGTTATATTGACCCATAAAGTCTCATTATAGCAAAAGGGGTTCGCAATGTCGTGGCAGGAGTGATGATTCCACAACCCCATCTCAGTAAAGGATAGCCGATGTAGCTCTCTCCAGACTCCCGCTTGTGGGGTGACCCAGGCGGTTCGGGACTTATGTTGGCTCTTGGTCGGTTGGTAGCCGTTTTAAGATATTGCGTTTGACTGCTCGAGTGAGTTTCATACTGGCGAGTCGGTGCCCTCCTCTGCGTGTCACACGGGGCGTCTTTCCGCATCGTAATACGATACAGCGATAATCTGCAGCTCAGCTCAGCATGTGAAACCTGTCCTGTCCTGTCCGGGCCCTTCCAGGATAGAAACTCAAGCTCTGCAGGAGAACGTCCCCCCACCTGGGGACGACCTATGCAGCCTCAGTCGTGGAATATTTCCTTTCATAACCGGGCGGTAGGAGGAATGTCGTGTTTTTCCCGTCGCTCTTCCCGATATAATAAACTTCGCAAGGGCGAGAGGCCCGAGTCCGAGGTGCCAGACCGCAGCGCCGTGCGACATTGATCTGCTCTCTGGTTTTGTTTAAACGCGGTTCCCTGTCGTGTCTCTTCCCCTTCTCCAGACTGCCTGGAGACGGAGCGCCATGACGGAGGCCGTCGCTCCCAAGTTGTGCTCGCTGGAGGAGGAGCTGCGTTACTGGAAGGAGGCGGCGGAGAAGTACCGGCAGAGGTAGGGGAATCCGGGGGCTCACCTGCCTCAGTCGCCAGTGGGATACCCCCCCCCTGAAGGGCGGCCGGGCTTCCGTGTGTCTTAGCTGACCGGTCTGTCCTCGGTCGCTGCGCGCAGTCGTGTGCGTTTTGCGCCGCGTCCAATATTGCGAGGGGCAGCGCCGTATCCGGAGGCGCCGGAGGGGCCGCTCAGCCAGCCGGGTCAGTCACGCCGAGGGCCACGGCTGCAGAAAGTCAGGGTTTTCCTTCCGTAGTTCAGAAGCCAGGGCTGCTTTACAAAGCGTTTCAGGTTTGAATGTAAGGGTGCACAGCTCCTGCCAAGACTGTGTTAATATCCAAGGCTGCTCGGGAGACAGGCAGGCAGGCAGTTTTCCCACCTTTTCCAAGCTCAGGTTATTTGAAATATTGCTGTCCTAGCCCACGTTCCACGCCCCCGTGGGTGAGAAAGCGATCAGCCTTCGGGGCATGGAGTTGCGAGCCGCGTAGCGCCATGGGAACCGTGACAAGAGGGGGCGCCCTGTGCGCCGGCGACGCGGGTCCGAGCTGAGCGGCCTGTTCTCTCCCCCGGCCCGGCAGCGCGGAGGAGGCCCAGGACGAGCTGCAGGAGTTCCAGCAGATGAGCCGGGATTACGAGCAGGAGCTGGAGGCGGAGCTGAAGCAGTGCGAGGCGCGGAACCGCGAGCTGCTGACGCACAACAACCGCCTGCGCATGGAGCTGGAGACCTACAAGGTACCGCGCCGCAGCCGAGCTCGGGGACGGGGAGGGTGTTCTCTGTATGACTTCTGACGTTTTCTTCCCTCCTGTTAAAAACGAAGACAAGGCCTTGGCTCCCTGGATCTCCTCCTGCTGTGTTCTGCAAGAGACCTCTATACCCCCCCCCCCCGCCAGACGTGTTTCCTGAGCCGAGTTCTATGTTTCGGCGTTTCCACTTGTGTCGTCTGGTTCGTGTCTCCCTCTTCCCTTTGAAGACGAGGATTGGGATGACTTGGTTCCGAAGTTACCCTTCCTAGTCGATTTGGTCAGGACCAAAAAGGGGGTCCTTATTAGCCGGGAGCCTGTTCTGCTTCCCAAAGACGGTCTTGTGGGATAAACAAGACGCGTTGTTCCTTGATTGTGGCTTTCCCGGTATTGCGAAGCCACGGGGCACGGTCTCGGGAAGTGTCATTCTGGGAACTTGTCTCTCCGTGAATGCAGTTTCTTTACACGCTTGTCATTATACAACTCGCCTGGCTGCCCCCTGAAAACATGATCGGTTAGAGAACCTTCAGTGTTGGTTTCATCCTGGTTGAAGCACCATTGCTCAAAGTCATTCCGGTGTTATTTGGTGCCACCTTCCAGTTGGAGTCACCCGGGAGTTCATCGGTCAAGCACTCTCTGAAATGAAGAGATAAAGTGATGGATCAGTAACATAGCAGTGTTCAGAGGGGCCGTGTATTCTTACTGTATTGAGTCTTGGGGGACTTGGACTTGGGTGACTGTTTTGCCTCCTGTCTTTTTCAATGGTTTCATTGTTCCTGATCACTCTCCTGCCCCCAGGGTTATGGTCTGGGATGCTGGCAGTCCGGCGTGCTGTCTCTTGGTGGCATGATCAGGGACCACACAGACTTGCATTTCACTTTTACACGGCTCTGCCTGCCTTTTCTAGCCCAGCACGACACGGCCGGGTTTGTCCCTCACAGCCCGAGAACGGAGCTGAACTCAAATGCGAGGTGTTACCGGCCGCCTCTGAATGCAGATAACTAAATCGGCGTTGATTTGTCATGCCGTTTGATGGTGGCCTTGCCCCCCTGTGTGTCAAGAGTCTGGGTGTCGGTGTAAACTCTTAGCTTTAAAGTCTGAATTCGGTGCAGTCAGACCTGCTTTTCATGACCTGGGAAACAACGCCAGTGAACCGTTCTTGAACAGGATGTGACGACACCAGTTCGAGCTTCCCTAAGCCACCACTTGACTTCCTGGTCTGCCTCACGAGGGACCCCGGGGGGCTTACAGACTGGCAGACCGGCCTGTATGACCGCGTTGTCCTGGTTCAGAGGTCGTGACGCCGGCTGCCTGGTGGTTTTAAGATCGCCTCTTGAAGTAACTGCACCAAGACTGGTCAAGCGTCTGTCTTTCGGTGCAGTCGGCTCGTGACCGGACTTGTGTTTGCTCTGCTCTGGGATGCGCAGGTGTGAACGGCGCTATAAAAGGGCAGATGTTTGTTGTTTTGAATTCTCGGCAAAGAACGCCTTGTTTCCTCGGAGGTGCCCATCTGTGCAGCGCCCGTTTGGCTGTGCCGATGAGGTCAGCCGGGGGACCTGAGCACAATCCCGGATTCACAGCCGCAGGCCTCCGGGCACAGCCTGGAACAGAGGGCTGATTGTGACCCAGGAAGCAGCTGATAGTTATTTCAGAGCAGCGCCTGGAAGGAGGAAAGCAATGAAATAGGATCTCCTTATTCTCTGACAGCCAGAGCTTTTTCGTTTTGCGCCGGCTGCTCTCCCACGCCTGAAGAGCGAGGCAGAAGGAGAAAGAGATGAAAGGCAGGAGCTCCTCGGTCAGCCCACTTTCACGCTGGAGCACTCATACTGAGTTTTTATTTTAGCTTTCTTAGTGCCGTTCTTGCATTGGTAGAGGGTAGTTTTGCAGCGCGTGAAACAAATGACCGAGGACTGTCAAACCTTTTAGCTGTGCTGTGCAAGCTTTTGGGGGGCGTAATTCTTCTCCGACTGCCCCTCAGACAGGATGACAACGATGTCCCTTGGTGCAAGTGACAGGCTCTCGCTGGGAACAGCACCAGCTCAGCACGGCTCTGCCGTGCTGTAAGAGTTGAGACATGCGTGACCCTGTATTCCTCGTTTTGTGTTCGGCCCTGCCAGGAGAAGTTCGAGGCCCAGCACTCGGAGGCGTTCAGGCAGATCTCGACTCTGGAGGGCGACCTCGCCGAGACCACGGCCGTCAGGGACCAGCTGCAGAAGTACATCAGGGAGCTGGAGCAGGCCAACGATGACCTGGAGAGAGCCAAGAGGTCAGCCTGCGGGCCGCAGCAGGGGGGGGTTTAAATGTTTGGCTGAGCTGTCTGTGCCGCGCTCAAGCTCTTGAAGTAGTTTAATATTGATGGAAATAGAAAAGCAGTGCTACTTTTCCTATCGTTTCCTATTTGGACCGGAAAGGAGAGGCTTTGATTTACTGTGAAATACAGGAGTAGAGTCTGCTGATGTTTTCCCAAGTAGCACTTCCATCCAGAGCAATTCCAATCCCGTAATCCCATCTCTTGCCTGACTTGCCTCCCCGTCGTGCCCCGCAGGGCCACCATCATGTCCCTGGAGGACTTTGAGCAGCGGATGAACCAGGTGATCGAGAGGAACGCCTTCCTGGAGAGCGAACTGGATGAGAAGGAGAACCTGCTGGAGTCCGTGCAGAGACTCAAGGACGAGGCCAGGGGTGAGAGAGGGGCTGGGACGTGCGACCAAGTGGGCGGCAGGGCTTGTTTGGTGGAGGGGGGGTTGGCTCGTGAAGAACTGCACTTGTTAAAGTGAGGCTGCGGTCTGCTCGGCCGTGAGCGGTCTGACCTCGCGTACCTTCGTCTCGCCTTTCCCGGCAGACCTGCGCCAGGAGCTGGCCGTGCAGCAGAAGCAGGAGCGCAGGCCCTCTCTGAGCGCGGCGGCCAAGGAGGGAGAGAAGGCCGAGTCGCCGGCGCGGCCCCCATCGGCGCTCCCTTCCTTGCCGGGCACTCCCGGGGGGCCCCGCATGACCCCCAGCACCTTCGCCACTCCTCCGTCCTCCTACCGCCGAGGTGAGACCCCCCCCTCCGCGGGGCGCGCGGCCTCTCGAAGACAGAGGTGCCGCCGCCCTCTTTCTCACTGGGACCGGGGCTCGGGCAGGGCTGTGAGGAGGCTGCTCTTGTACAGCACTGCAGGAGGGATTCTGTACAGTACTCCGGGACTGAATGGGTCTTCCTGACGTGCCTGGTGTTGAGCATTCAGCCCGACTGCAGTTCCAGCGTGTGTGTTTGTGTCTGTCCGTGCAGGCGACGGGCTCACCGGTACCCCCCTCACCACCTCGGCCCGGATATCTGCGCTCAACATTGTCGGGGAGCTGCTGAGGAAAGTGGGGGTAAGAGCTGGACGGTTTGCTCGGTCTCGGCAGGACAATTTGAAGTCCCGTTTTAAAATCCGAACGACCATTCCAGTGCCATTTACAATTACGTTCATCTCACGGCTTTATGCCTGCAGTATACCTTTTTTCTTTCTACCTTTTTCCAGTAATTGTAGTTTCAGAAGTGAATTTTTATGGTGGTCATAGAACCTTCCTAACCAAGCATTTTCATTAGTGTTTCCCCAAAGTCTGTCAGAGCACATGCCAGCCTGTCACTGTTAAATTGGCTCAAGCTATTCTCCTTCTTTGGGCTGTGCTGGGGGCTCTTTCGGCAGGAGCTGGGGTGTCCAGCGACCTGCAGGTTTGGGGGTTGCGTTAGCGGCGGGCTCGGGGCCCGACACAGAGCCCCGTTGACCGCGTGGTCGTTGCCGTTTCAGAACCTGGAGGCGAAGCTGGCTTCCTGTCGGGACTTCGTTAACGACCAGTCGCCTGGCCGCCTCGCGCCCTGTAACCGAGCCGGCAGCGCTGCTCCCTCGAGAGAGAGCCCCGAAAGCAAGGCCGCCCCCAACTGTCTGCCGCTCTTCGACAAGGGGTGAGACGAGACT